GCAAAAAAAAAATTCCAATTATTTGAGAATAATATGTGATCCTATACTATTATTAAGATTCCTCAGGGTTCTCCCTGGTTCCCTATTCTTCTAAACATCCATATCAAGGAGAAGTAACTTGGAGATCTGGGCTCAGATATAATCAATATGCGCACAACATCCATCCATCCATCCATCCATGGATCGCACCTTTCAGACTGCCCACTATCCAGAGTTCTCTGAACTATGTATTACCTTTGAAAAATCCAAATATAGAAATCCAAGAGAGCAGAAGATAAACTCAAATTAAAAATAGCAATAGAGTAAAAAAATCCAAAGGTGTCGAAGTTCTAAAATAGTTCTGAAAGTATGCAGGAGAACAGGAAAGGCTTTGATGTTGAAAATATCACAAGGTAGGCACCAAGCAAGCCTGCGCAGCTCTACTTCCCCTTTCCACCATCTCAACCTAAGCGAGCACTGGAAACTCTGGATAAGTACCTGCAAGCAGTGTTGGCCTGGCCAAGGGCCAACAAACTGAAATGTAATCTGGATAAAGCAGAAGTAGTACTGTGGGTTTAGTGAGGAAATCCACTAATCCTGATGGAGAGTTTGACCTCCAAAATCTCAAGGGCTGGACAGACAGCTCTTGAAGGTGCTGGCTACCAGGAGTAGTTTTCTACAAGCTGAAACTAGCAGCTCTGACCTTAGTCTAGAGACGGCTGACACCGTCACAGTGACAGGTGCCTTAATTACATCCAAATTAGATTACCATAATTCATTGTACATGGGGCTGGCCTCAAATGTAGTATAGAAACTATGGCCAGAATCCTAGAATAAGGGCACATTGTGGGATATGGAAGGAGCCTCTCCAAAGATGTGAGGACTGTGAGCACATGTGGACACCCCATGGACAACAGCAGCACCCTCAGTTGATCCTTCCAATCTGGAAGAAACATTTGGTTGCATCTGACATGAACAAAGGAGAAGAATGGCATGGCTGGGCATGTGACCTGGCACATGACTGAGAAGTGCCCCAGCACCTCATCAATTAGCTGTGGCAAGCTATATAAACCTTAAGTGAATACCAGTAGGGTTCTGGTACAGAATGGGAATACCAGAATGGTTCCAGGAGCTTAGGTACAGTGGTGCCTCACTTAACGATGATAATCCATTCCAGGAAAATTGCTGTTAAGCGAAAACATCGTAAAGCCAAATTAAAAAGCCCATTGAAACGCACTGAAAACTGTTCAGTGCGGTCCAATGGGCTGAAAACTCACTGTCCAGCGAAGATCCTCCATACCGCGGCCATTTTCGGTGCCTGTATAGCGAGGAATCCGTCCCTAAGCACAGCGGGGAGCCATTTTAAGCACCCGGCGGCCATTTTGAAAACCCAACGATTAGCTGTATTTGATCATCATAAAGCGGAAATTGGTTCCCGAAGCAGGGAACTGATCATCGCTAAGCAAAATTCCCCCATTTAGACCATTGTCGTAAAGTGGATTCATCGTAATACGGGGCAAGACTGTACATGGGTCACACCGCAGACACCTATTCTGCATAGATTACGCCAGCTACCTACTCATTGTTAGTATATATAGTTATGCAACACAGAATGTATATATGTACCTGTCTGTTTAAATGTGTTTGCTGTGAAAGACCAGAATGTTGTACTGTATTTGCATAGCATAGAATTCTAACCAATTGGAATGTGTCTGGAGTCAGTTGGCTGCTATATAAGGCGGATGTCAGAAGTCTGTCAGTTAGGGACAACCATGTCATAGACTAAGACAGTGACATAGATTAAGATAGGGGCACGTACAAACATGTAATAGGTCAGTCATAGATAGGACTACTAGGTCTCAGTGACAGGGTTAAAGATCTAACTGAAAGGATCTAAAACAGGGATGTCCAACCTTTCACCTTCCCTGGGCCACATTAGAAGATGAAAATTTGGTTTGGGCCACATATAAATTTGGTTTGGGCCGCATGGGGGGGGCAGCCCTAGCCATCCTCTGCAGCCCCACTCCAAGCGCGCTTACCGGCAGCTGCGATCTCAGACAGCAGAGGCTGCCAGCTTCGACTCCGGCGGCTTTATAGGGCCGGGAGGGGGTCCACCTATTGATGGGGATGGCGCAATGCCGTCACACAGCCCCCTCCCGCTCCTTCCTTCCCTCTCTTTCCCCCTACCGTTGTGACATGTCCCAGCTGCATTCTGGCTGCAAGTGCCGGCAATGTAATTTGAAACTTTGGAATTTCTTTAAAAATAAAAAAATTGCACTGGGCCGCATTATGAGCTGACCTGGGCCGCATGTGGCCCTCGGGCCGCAGGTTGGACAAGCCTGATCTAAAAGGACCAGATAAGGCTCACAAATATAATACTATAACAGTGAGAGAGTTAGTTATTTACCAGAGAAAATATGCCAGTCATACCAAATATCCAAGCATTATGAGTTATATTTTACAAATATTCATAAGCAGTAACCGTTATTTAGTGTTTTAGCCAAAGGCACAAGTGATTATTTTAGTATCAATTACTGACACAAAGCACACAAAAGGGAGAAGACCAAATTTTATTCTTTATAAAAGTGGTTTTTTAATCTATATGCTTCAAGATGCTGTGTTCAGGCTCTGCAAATTAGTTATTCTAATGAAAAGCAAACAATTACAGACACCTATTCTGCACAGATTACTCTGGCTACATACTTCTTTACACCCCCAGTTCAAATGACTGGTTTTTGGTGTCTACACCCAATAGGGTTTGAGACAGTGGCTGTTGCATTATACTGCAGAATCATCAGCTGGTGGGCTTTTCTGGAAATAAAACATTTCAGACCCCTCCTCTTGAAAGTCTTGAGACTCCTTTCACAATGCTGAAGCCATTTGGAATCACAAGGTTTGAGGATAGTCTTTAATTATCTAAGATCGCTAATGCTGGGATGACTTTATTGGGGGCAGTGATTTTTCCCTAATCAAAGACTACCTCCTCTTGCCCCAGGGCCCCAAACAGCTTCCTAACAATGAAAAGGATTCGACAGAGAAATGCTTAAGAAGAAAAAGAAAGAAAAAGAAACCTGTAGTGGCCATTGACTTCATCAGCCTTTCATGGCATCAGCTTACAACAGCAGGATTTCAGCCTATGTCATCTGAAAGGTTATTTGGATCTTTATGAACAAGCCAAGCATTAAGATCAGCATCAATGGCCTTGCTCTCTGACTCACCAGCAAAAGCAAAATGTACTGCTTATATTAAAGCACTCTCTGGGCGGGTTACAACTTAATTATACAGGCTACATATTTCTCCCCTCACCCAGCAAGCTGGATGCTCAATTTACTGACCTCGGAAGGATGGAAGGCTGAGCCAACTCTGAGCTGGCTATTTGAGCCCATCAGGATTGAACTGAGGTCTTGAGCAGAGTTTTTGACTGCAATACGGCAGTTGAACCACTGCATGAAGAGCAAAACCTACTAGGCTGGCAAGTGCAAGGAATCGGGCTATTTCAATGTCACTCCCACACCTTTGAAACTTCCGCCTGATGAGAGAGAGGTACACATCACCCCACTATTTCTAGCTTTGAAAAGAACGCTGAACACCTACATATTTATCCCACTGTGCCTTTGGTCCTAAAACTCTTTAACCACTCTCTGGGTGAGAGCATTTTCATCACCATTGTATTTTTCTCACTAGGTAATTTTGCAAGCCGCTTTGTGAGCCTAATACGCAGAAAACATGCTTAAGGCGATCCTTCAAATAAACAAATGACACATCGGTGTGACTATGGGCCAAGAAATACAGATGACTATACCTCTTTTAATAAAACTGTAGCCACCTGAAAATGGCCCCTGAGACAGTTCCTCGTAGAAGCCTGATAGCCTAGTAGATGAATTTATATTTTTAGCCTAGGCCTCTATATTTCAGTGGGTAACTCACGGTGTGTGAACTACAAAGAGATTTTCTACGTTTGCTGCCCCCACCCCCGCAATGCTCCCCACGCCACTGGCAAAATTCAGCAACACAGAAGTAGTGGCAAGGTTGGATAAAACCATAGCCACAACTTGTGTTTGAGGAAAGGCGGGCACACACCTTGCTCTTAAGATGATAAGCGCTCCTGAACACTCCTCGATACCCACATGTGACAGGAGAAGGGAGAAGGATTAAATGAAGGCTTTGAGGAGTTGTGGGCTGAAAGGCATTGTTCCTGAGCTCTGGGAGGAACCCACACATTGCCTTCATAACAGGGGACCAGAAGGGTGTGAGCGCCTCATTTACAAACTAATTAGGGCTCGGGGAAGCTCCGAAGATAGATCATTTCAAAGGCCAATTGCAGCTTTTCCCACAATCACTGCCCCACTGAAATTTGACAGCATGAGGGCAGCCACAGTAGGAGTTATGGCACCAGGTGGAGCGATGCAATTCCTCCCACCCAGCCACTCGAGTCATTCCTTGTTGAAGACACTGTACAGAGCACTTTGAACTAATTCAGTTCGGGTGACATATTGATGCCAGCGAGCTGCTTCATCGGCAAGAGCGGCCCAAGGACAGCACACATCAAGACTCTGCGGCTAACATGCTGTCCCTAACTTCTTGCTACAGCCTAAGGATCTAAAGCTTTGCTTATTTCATTCCTGCAAATAGGAACCCACCATGTTAAAAACCGGCACCCTACTTGGCAAGACTGCAAGAGCTTGCACCCATCTGTTCAGATTTTTAAATTCACTGGCAGAAATGTAAGGAGTATGTACCTTGCACAAAAAGTGCCCCATGTTGCTTATGATATACGTTAGCCATGAAAAATACAAGGGCTTTTAGGAAGGGAGAGTCTATATGTTTTGCTGTTGTTGCTTTGGTTTGGTTTTTCAACTACAAAATAGAACATTTCTCATTAACGCAGAGGCAGCAGTTGACAGGATTTTTGTTTTGGTGATGTTCCTTGACATGTCAACACACCCATTCTCACTGATGACAAGAAATAAACTGCAGACATGTGTTGCTTTCTTACTACATGATGCCAGGCATATACGCACCTATAAAGCCGAAGATGGTGCTTGTGATCTCGGATTAGGTCTGGGTAAGTGATGATTAAGTGCACACCAAGGAGCCTCCCTGCTCTCTGGATTTTGTTTGAGGAAGCCTGCGAAAGAAGCATTCAAGAGCTACTGGATCGGATGAGGAGAACTTCACAACTGCTCCGCAGCTGCTCCCCACGAAACTAATTTTTGCATTGCACAGGGCAGGAGAAGAGGGGAAGGAGATGATATGCCTCGTTCAACAAATCACCATCTGTACAAGGATAAAACTGTTAGAAATATTAAGTTTTATAGTGTTCGACAGAAAATCATGGAAGGTTTGGAAAAAAAGTCCAGTTGGATCAGTCCCAAGGACTACCTAAACTAGCATCTCGATCCCACTCTGACTATCAAGATGTGAAAGGAAGCTGGACATAAATGCAAAAGGACCCTCTCAGTTCTGACTTCCCAGCAGCTGTTATACTGAGGCAAAATATTGTGTCTCAATCCTAGAGAAGATATATAGCCATCAGATGATAAGCCTGGCAACCTTAACTCTCATGCACCAAAATTGTTATAAAAACCAAATATTTGTGTTGAGTAAATTGTGGGATATTTTCTGCCCCATGAAAATTCCAGTGTATTGAATTTAGCTGTAGGGTTAGCCCTGGGGTTAGGGTTAGCAGAAGGGTAAAGTTATAAATCTCTTATTTCCTAAACCCACTGAGATATCCGGTGCCCCCTATTACCCAAAATGGGGCCAATTTTCTGACAATCCGAATATATCACTTCTGCTTCTCAACATCACTGTTCAAAAAATAGCATGGGCTGTGTGTACGTGTCAGAATGTGTCCCAACACACTGTATTGGTTGGGATTTTTAAATTTTTTTTAAGTATCCCGGAAACAAAATGCAAATAGATTTCTTAGGACAATTTTTGTCCTGGGTTTTGTTTGTTTGTTACAATAACAAACAATTGACCCTAGCAACTGGCTGAAGCTTGAGCATATATAGATGATAGTGTCACAGAATGCCAACATTGCAGGGTGTCATTCTGTGTGGGTTCTTCATCAAATCCTAACTCTGGGAGACCAAAATGTCCCATGCTGGGGTACATGAAGGTTAACAAGCCTGTTTGCAATCAGATCCGATTTAATTTTATGTCAGATATTTATGAAGTAGTGATTCATGTGAAAGTAGATTTTTAAAGAAAACCATCCAATCGAAAACTACACCAATTTAATTTCTTTTTAATGATTTGACTTTCTTCTCCTTTGCCAGGATGACAGTGCACTCAGAGCCAATGGATCACTCACCATCCAACAACGTGTACTCCAAAGTAACTCTGCTCCATTCTTGTGGTCAATGGAATTCATTAGGGAAGAGCCCAATGCTTCCCTCCCCCCCAGCACCATTTACCTTTTCATTCATAATAAATACCCAGCAAGTATGTGGCATTTTCAATCATTCACTGCCTATACGGGATCTCACTGTGAGCAATTTGGCATCCTTTAAAAAAGGTATGATCATCCTCCCTGCTGCAAACTGAAGGAGGAGGATGTGGAAGCTTAAAGGAGGGGCCTTCCCTTGCGAAGAAGTGAGGAAGAAATAAGATCTGAGATCTATGTACCTCCCTCTGGCACGCAGTATGTCCTACATCATCTCTAAGAGTTAAACTATACACCACTGAACGCACTGCATGCAGCTGAAGGTTTATTTGGTTTTTATTCTAGAATAATTGTGTGGGGCTCAAGGTGGATTGGTTCCCCCATGCAAGAGAGGAGGCGTAAATCTCGCTTCCCTCTTTCCTCCCCTATAAATCCATCCTTCCTTAGAGAGGTTTGAAAGGGGGTTGGGGGGGGGGGCAAACCACTTTAAGAAGCAGCAATTCTTAAGATGCTGATGCTTTTCTGCCCTGTATCAAATTCCAGGCTTGTTCAGAGACACAAATAATACAGACAAAACTGATGTTGCAATAAATCAGATCCATATATATATTAAAGGAAGTAGTGATGATCTTTATTTTTGCACCGTTATTTGTCTAAATGAGGGACACAAGGCGGTATTTATTACCTGCTTGAGGCTGTGGTCAGACACCAAGACTGATTCGCTGTCTGGAAGAGGAGTCTGGAAAGAAAAAGATCAAGGACATTTCCTTAGACAGCTTATAGAGTGAGGAAGGAACTGCCAGTTGCATGCGCCAGCCCAATATAGCACAGGAGGCCCAGCATCTCCCATGCAAAGGAAGTGACTCCTGCAAAGCGGATCCGCTCTAACCCAAGGAATCTTTACAGACACCAGGCTGACTATATGACACATATGGGTGCACATACTAAATATCAGATATTCAGACAGCCACAGTGCATCAGAGGTGAAACTTCATCATGGATCCCTGTCAAAAAATCTATATCCTAATCTAGAACAGGGATGGGGAAGAGGTGGTCCTCCAGATGCTGCTGGACTCTAATTCTAATCATCTCTCACCTTTGGTTGTGTTTTGGCTAGGGCATCTGGTCACAAGCTGGAAGGCCCTATGTTTCCCACACATAATCTGCATTCTCCAACACAGAAGCAAGCATAAGAGATGTTCTCATCTGATACGCGTTGAACAAAGAAGTCCAGAATTGGCAGCCAAACTAATTGCGAGCAGAAGGCAGTTACTGGAACAGTGTGTAGACTTTCTGCTATCTACAGCTCCACTGTACCTCTGGATATTAATACTGCTTGGAGTAACATATCTGAAGGGACTCGCCTTAATCAACAAGCTCTGGTATGAGTTAGTGGTGAGGAAAGCAGGTTGCATGTGCAATTAATAACAATAATGTGCTGTCAAGTCCACTCTGACTCATGGCAAAGCTTTCTAGGGTTTTCTAGGTAGAGAGTACTCAAAAGCGGTTTCCCATTTTCTTCCTCTAAGGGACTCTGGGACTCTGCAGCTTGCCCAAGGGTACACAGGCTGGCTTTTTCTGCCCGAGACACAATGGGAAGTCGAATTCTCAACCTTTGGTTCCGCAGCCGGGCGCCCAACTCACAGAGCTACCTAGCCTGCTTCACGTTCCATTACAGATGGCAGAATAAGGGCAAATATTATTTGGAATTTTCTATCTCAGGCCCCTCTTGAGCCAGCAGTGGCTTGAAAATAAAAGAGACAGACTCCTTTTGTAGCAAATAGTAAGGCTCGCTAACCCAACCCCTGTTTAGTAACAGGTAAGTAAGCGTTTGCTTGGCTGGTATACTTTGGAATGTTGAGTGCTGTCACAAGATGTTAAAATATATTTTATCCTTTGAGAGGTTCAGTGACCAAAGCTCTGTTTGCCTAGGCATGTAGGTTGCCAATCTGAATACAGTGGTGCCTCGCTTAACGAGTGCACCGTATAGCGATGTTTCCGTATAGCGATCCCTTTTTCGGGATCGCTATACGGAAACATCCCCGATCGTCGCAATGGGGAAAACCCGCATTGCGAAGATCGGGTATTGCGGCGGCCATTTTGGAGCCGCCGAACAGCTGATCGGCGGTTCCAAAATGACCACCGGAAGCCCGGAAATGGCTGCCGGCAGCCGTTTTCGCGCCCTGCCCTCGCTTAGCGAAGGCGCGAAAATGGCTGCCGGCACCTGGAATCCTCGCTGAACGGGTAAGTAACAAAGGTATTGGAACGCATTAAACGAAGTTTAATGCGTTCCAATACATTTCCCCTACCCGTTTAGCGACGATTTCGCATAGCGAGGGTTAATCCGGAACAGATTAACCTCGCTATGCGGGGCACCACTGTACATAAATAGGGTTGACAGGTCGAAGGCTTTGACCCTGAAACTCCAGTTTTGGGGTCAATTCTGTTCTCCTGGCTTCAAGATGCACAATTTAGAAGTGCTCAGAAGCAAACCTGTCTTTGTTACATTTGTATCTCTTTTTTTATTATTATTGCCTGCTATGGTATAAACAACTGCAGCTGCTACTGAAATACATAAACTGGTCTTTAAATCCATCATTGCATCTCTACGTTATCTATCACACGTTGTCTCTCTTGCGCAAACCTAAATGCACACACATCATTTTTCTATTGTTCCTGAAGGCGCCATCCCATTCCCTTCTTTTGGAGGCATCCTGGGACTGTGCAGCTTGCCCAGGGCTACACAGGCTAGCTCTACTCGCAGGAGGCCCAGCGGGGAATCAAACTCCCAAGCTCCAGCTCCATAAATATAAACAACTGAGCCATTAGCACAGGTTTTACAAAATAAATTCTTACTCCCCAGCAGATTCTTTCCCCAGTACATGTACTCCCTCTGTTAACACTTTCAGACTATTTATATTCTTTTTCACCAGTTCTTATCAACTCATCAACTATCAACCAATTTTTCTGTTCTACTAAATTACTTAGACTTTGTATCTGCTTTCAATATTTTCTTACAGAAATTTCTATTTGTTTTGCAAGGGTGCTGTTGTTCCATGCTGTTAAGTCAGAACCGACTTATAGTGACCCTAACAGGCTTTCAAGCAAAGTGAGATATTTAAGGAGTGGTTTGACAAGTTCCACTCCCCCAGTTAATTTCCGTGGCTGAGTGAGGATTCGAACCCAGGTCTCCTGAGTCCATCACTCTATCCAGTACACCACGCTGGGTATCCTGTTTGTTAGGGCAGTAAATCACAACTCTTGTTACTCCTCACGCTGGCAAGTAGCCACTTAAAAAGATAACAACCGGATTTGTTTTGATTAATTTGACCTTCTACCTGCAAGATATAGGGAACACAGCCTCTGTCTGTTAGTGAAAGAGTATATTACTAACGTGATAATTTACCACATTGATAAATATCTATCCCCTGGTTTTTCAAATACATTATAGCATTTTAAGCAATATGAGCTAGATGTTATTTTACAAATACCATATCCTATCCTAAGCATCATTTGCAAACTTGACAGCTTAGCACAGTAAGTCACAACTGGAGTAGGCCCACTAAAATCAGCAGAACCTATGAAGGAGCCAACTCCCCAAACCCCCACTGATTCAATGGCCTCCTCTACTTGTGACTTGCAATGTAAAGCAGCAGGATTTCAGCTACTAAGTCCCTACTCTTAAGTTTCAGACTTAGGCCCTTAAATCTCCGGGGACTGAATGACCTACACGAACCCTGGTCATATTTCTCCTCATCAAGAAAGTTGAGCCAACGTTCAAAATGGAGAACACCAGCTCATAACCACAACCTCAAAGCTACCTGTCTGATCTTTACACCAACCAGACATCACCCAAAACATGGTTCTCTCACTGACAGCAATAGGATGGGCTTTAAAAAAAAAAAAAAAAGACCAAGCCGCCCTGCCAGCTAGGACTGCCATAAAGTGAAACCAAATGCTAAAGAACAGGGGGGCTAGAGGTGGGGCTTCCAGGTTTCCAGATGTTGCTCAACTGCAGCTCTCAACAGCTCTATCCAGTGATAAGGAATGCTGAGAGCTGGCATCCTTGAAGAGGCACAAGGTGATCATTGCTGGTATACAGAATTAGGGCTTTCTCACTCTCTGACCTTATGTCATGTATCCAGAGAGCTCCTAAGGGGAAACTCTGCAGAAGGGACCCCTTGTACAGAATGACCAAACCCTGCAATGCATCTGAGAAGCTAAGCACTGACTGATGTGGCTTCGCATGTCAACAGTGGTAGGATGATCCTCCAGGACTCAGAGCATCATCCTGCATCTGCTGCATCAGCCTCGGCTTCAGCATGACATTCTATTCATTCTTCTTAAAAAGAACTTCGAAAGTTCTGGGGTTGAGACCCTAGATGGACTCCATTCCTGATCAAAAAGTGGAGGTGCCAGGACACAACGCCTCATGCATTCAGGGGAGCACAAGGCAGGAGCAACCAGAGTACAGGGTAAAATTGCTGTAGCTTCCCACCCCCAACCGCACGGCAGAAGCAAGAGCTATCTTTGGCCTCAACTGCACTGCTCTTTCACTTTCCCTCCCAAAGAGGAGAGCAGCAGAAGAGAAGCAGGGGGAGAGCAGGAGCAGGTCTCGTAGGAAGGCCACACATCTCCTTTGACAAAAGAAATGGCCCCATTTGAAAGACATCCAAAGGACAGTCCTCTTTTTGACGCCCTCCATGATGTGTAGGACTTCTCAGTCCGAGCAGAGTTTAAAGATAAAGAAGCACAAGGAGGGAGATCAGGGACTGGTGATCCTAGAGCTGCATGTCCACAGCTAGTACCAGGACATATGACCTCAGCAGGCATGCAGACACAGGCCACCTGGCTCTTGTGCTTCCCTGCTCTGTTGGTATGCTTTGCTATTGTGCTTAAATAAATGACTTCCAAGTTAGCATCTTTAGCTATAAATCAGCACATGCAACTCTATGAAAATCAGTGTCCTCTTTCACCCTCTATTTTGGTCCTGGAAGTCCTCCTTTCCTCCTTGCAGGCAATGGGCAGGTAGCCACAACAGGCTCTGCTGGGCCGCTGCAAACCCGGTATCAGCTCAGAAGCAGCAGAAAGCATGCCGGATTATAGCTCCAGCGACTATGTCCTCAGCATGGAATTCTTTAAGACACTCTTCTTAGATGGTGATGATGGGCTTGAGTCCAGACAGTAAAAACAGAGTTCAGCAGGCCGTGGCTCAATTAATGGAGGCCCGCCTTTTTTCCTTCCTGCCCTCCGCACTCGAGATGGCAGGAAGCAACAGACCGCAGCTCCTGTTTTCTAGGTTCTCAGAAAAATGTCCTCTCAGGACATTGTGTCTCCACCTTCTCAAGGTGCTTTGCCAGCTTGCCAGCCAGGGCTTCTCATTTCCCCAACTGTGTGGAGCGCAAACATCACCCTGCCCTCTCCTTTCCTCTGAGTGTTTACATGTGAAATAGCACCAGGGCTGCCAGCTGCCAGGGAGAACGCCTCAGGCCCATTTTCCCAGTGAAGGAAGAGGAGGAGAAACAGCAGACGAGCACACACACACAGAGCCCTGGCAAGCTGGGCCACATGTTGACAAAGCCCACTTGGCAGGTTTCATATTTGGTACAGGCCTCATCCTGCAGACCTGCTCTCAATGAGTATTTGTCAATATGCTTAAGTAGAGCAACACAGAGCAGAACCACGCCTTGTACTGAAGCAGCGTTCTTGTCTAGATGAAAACCACGTTGAAAAACCCAC